CAAAAAGCAATCTTCGAAAGCTCACAAGAATGAAAATTCACAACTCATGGAATCATAGAAGAAATTTTGACAAATCCTTCAAGATATAGAAACTAAAAGAGTAAAACTGTTCTCAAATTTTAGGAATAAATTCTAGGATGAATTCAATCCCTTCATCTTTTCATTTTTTCATTTTTTTTTCTTTTTTTACTTTTTTTTTGCGTATGGCTTTTTTCGTTTCTTTCTTTTTTCGAACCTCACATAGGCAGAAAAACATAAGAAATAGACTTTGAAGGGGGCCATTTTTCCATCAAGTGGAAGAGTAAAAGATAAATTTAACCAATATAACTTAGGAGCTTAAATTTAGTATGATCTCGCCATGCTCGTCATCTTCATTCATCGGGTAACATATCTTTTGGCTCATGATTGGTTTCAAAGTGATTGTCATCTTCTAAGTACGCTAGCTTTTGTCCAAAACCAGTATTAGGAATATCTCATCCATCTTCAAACTCTTCATGCACATACAAATGACGAAGACCATTTGCAACTCATATAGCACGCACGCGTTTGCTTATGGTATGAACTTCAAGTATATTCTATTTTTATTCGATAGATTAAAAAAATACTTAGATTAGTATGGCAAAATGAGTTTTGGGTACTACCGAAATAGTTCCTCTTACAATTTATAGCCACTATTTGTGGTGGACTATCTTTAAGTATATTAGTTGGTTGCATGACCTATTTTCCTTTTTAAATTTTTTGAAATACATGTGTGCGTAATCTTAGTTATTATTTATAGTCTTAGTTGTTATTTATTGTTTACGTCAAGTCAATCAAGTGAAAGTGAAAGGTGTTGGGAAGTAAACAATGAGTTTTTCATATTGGGTTGACACGATCTCGAGTCTAAATAGGGTTGAAGGAGTCATTTGATTTCATTTCAACAATTTTAAATCCTAAAAACTCCATTAACCTCCCTTCTCTCATATGGAGGAGGAGAAGATATTTTATGCTAAAATGATAGTAAATACGCACATTTATATCATTGAAAATTAAAAAGGTCTAAAAAATAGCTGTACATTTTAATATGGAGACAATATCATTATATCATAGACATACTTGAGTTTTATGACAATATCGAAGCCTTAAAGATTTTTTTTTTTATACCTAATTATAAATATGTATGCTAGTAAAAATTCAAAAATATAATTTGTTGTCAAATCAGGCAAGAAATCATTTTAAAAGTTTTTTTATTAATCCTATTTTATGCATAATATATGCAAACTAATATAAAAATTCCTAATAAACTAATATAAAATATTAAACATAATATATACTATTTTTATAATTTAAGTAAAATCTAGCTAAAAAATAGTATACGTTCATTCATTTAAATATTATATACCTTCAAAATATATTATTAAATTATGATCTTGTTTACGTAATTAGAATGATATATTCATGATATATATTATTCATTGTAGCATTTCAAACTAACATCATAATACACCTTTTGATCTACTTTTAAATAACTATTTTGTGTAATTAAATATTATACATATATAATTCATCTAAATATATTGATTTAGACAAACGATACAACTTGTAAGGAAAGAAAAAAATGTAAATTTATATGAATAATATTTAAATTAAGTCTAACGAGCTCTATGACATATTAGTTTCTATTCTTATAGTTTACTTTGAGAATATCATCTATTGTAGAAAATTTCATATTTTTGTTCACAAAAGCATTTTTAGGTACATCAACTTCATTGTAAATGATAATATGACTCAAAAAGTAGTCACAGATTGTGTGTGATAATTAAAACTAAAAATTTGGGAATGTTAATATGATTTTTTTTAAACATAATGATTTGTCTCTGATATTTGGATATCTTTGGTATTGAAAAACTGTTTATATAAAATAGCATTATTTTAATTGTAATGTGATGTTAAAAGCATACTTTTTCTTCTCATTTTAACACGTTCCAAATAAGATAAGCAAAAGTTCTGATTGTCGTGTTCAGTTCTTTATCTATTGACCTTTTAAAATATAGGTGAAGAAGAGAGTAGTAGTAAACAATAAAAAGATCACACTAATTTGTCATCTTTGGCAACATTTCTTTTTTCTTTTTTTTTTCTTTATCGTAGTATTTATTAACGTGCACCAGAAGCAACAAATAACCTCAAAATCTTTTATAATTCGGTGTAAATAAGTATTTATGGTAAATATTTGATGTCTTTGATTCATCCATTTCAACTCAAAAAGGGAAAAATTAGTTTAATTTAGTAAAAATCTCTGTCACATATCTCATATAAAGAATATTTATTTTTCAACCAGCAAAAATTGTCGTACATTAAAATATTTAAGAGATACCAAACTTATTAGGTTCCTCAATGGTAATATTAATTTACAACTTATACCATTTGTTGTGTAGAAGGGTTCAAATGGACGATGACAAGAACTTCACTAATTAAGCCCCCATTTGGCCTCTCATTATTTCATGTTATAATGGGTGAAATAATATTTTTTAGAAAATGAATGGCTGAAAAATAAGGATAATATTTCGATTTATGTGTAATATTATTTTATGCAAGATTGTGTGATTGAAAATAGAAGAGAGAAAATTTTAATTTAATTTAATGGAGGCCAAATGGGGGCTAAAATGAGAGAATACAAAAGAGTACCATGCACTCAATCCCAAACCCTAACGAGCACGGGTTACTGACACCAAAATCTTCCAAAAATATAAACTATGACTATTTTATGGATTGGGTTGGATCCAAATAACAAATGACGACTCGCACTTCTAGGAGAATAACATAGGGGTGACTTTCTCTTTAATAAAGAACCTTGAGTTTCTACGACAGCTAATATCAAAGTGGTTATAGAATGAGGTTTTCTAGGACTCATTATGTGTCATGGATTTTGTTGAGCCCGTATCCAAGCAAGCTAATTCTAACACGTGTAGACAGATTATTAGCCGATAATATCTCGCATTTGAATGTGGGAAAAGTTTGATAACATGAGACAAGTATGTTTGGGCACGCGCAAGATATCTGAGCGAAATTGCATGATAAGGAACGGTCAACAACAACAACAACAACAAAAAAAAAAATTGAAAGGAGCGAATATATAGCTTATAGTTGATGCATTCGCATTTTTCTCAAATGATACAAGTAGGTGGTATTTATAGTGGTAATGAAATGGTGTCCATTGGATGAAGAGGTACGTGGTTTCATCTTCTTAACCGAAGCATCATATCCTAATTATAAGTTTGATCTCACTAGCTTGTGACGTATTTAATACTCCTAAAGAAAGTAGCCACCCTACAAACTATGTTGACAAGACTTTGGCATATCACTTATTACATAGATCACATCAATCATTCGAATAGAATCTTTATATAGAAGATCTATTTGGAAAAGTGAATATGGAAGATGCGCCTTTATGGAAGATGCTCCTTTATGGTTAGGAGGCTTTTGCTTCAGCAATGTGGGCTTCAGCCACTTATATAGTACTTCGATTTGATTATTGATGAAGAGGAGCTTGGGCCTTTTGTTTGGGCTTCTTGAGCCTAAGTTTGAGGCACGAGCTTCTTCTTGAGCCTTGGTTTTGAGGCATAACAGATTTCATTTTATTCCGGTATTTAACTGTCATAGAATGCCTTAATTCTCATCATGTTTGGCCTATTTGAGATGAACAATGCTTTTTTCATTGTTAATTTGTCATTATCTACAAGTACACTAATTTCTCTAATCATGTCTCCAAGTTGAAGAAAGATACGCTACCCCCTTAGAAAAGGGGAAAGTGCCTCAAGCATATGATATTTTGAGTTGAAATTTTGTTATTCGTTTCGACTCTTTCATGGCTCAACTTTTGTCTTCTTTTTAGTTAAAACACCATTCAAGCCTAAGGATGTCCAAATCTTGACGCCTTTCTCACTCACCTTACATGATGAATCCAATTTACTATTACTAAACTAAAAACTATTCACACGAGTTCGATAAAACGGTTTTTATGGTTTCTTATTAAAGGTACATTTATGGTCTACATCTTTGTCACTCACCTTGCTCATATTAGCGAGTTATGCTTATCGACTAAACCTATAAAAACAAGGCAAATAAATTTCAGTATTCCCACTATTCTCTCATCTCTATTTTGCTTATATTAGTAGTTATGCGGCATCTAAAACAATAAATATTAAAGGTTGAAAATGACTTGTATTATAATTTCTGCACAACAAAGTATAGAAATAAACAGATTTACTGCATAAAAAAATTCCAAGTAAAATAACTGCTTTTCACAACTACCTACCAGCCAAGTATGGCACTGCAATATGACTACAACCACAAGCGTTGGCATTTGGCAATTTTCAGTAGAAAGAGAATCAACAACAGCAGGACACAAAGAAAGCAAATAAGCATGCTATGATGCTTACAGAAGAGAATGTACATAAGTTAAAGGCTGTCATTTCAAGTGGACAATAACGACTTTCTACTATTTTCCTTGATGCCTCTCAACGTGAGTGGACTCCACACCAATTGTTTCTTTTGAAGGGCAACAACTGTTGGATGCTTGGGCTTCCACGAACCTGCCTGTGAAGGAGGACTTCCCCTAAATTTATTTCTTCTGGGGCCAACTGGAGTTGCTTCCACTGTACAACTGGATGTTAACCTCAACTGTTTCTTTTGGAATGCTACAACAGTTGGATGCTTGGGCTTCCATGAACCAGCCTGTGAAGGAGGACTCCTCCTAAATTTACTACTTCTAGGGACGATAGGTGTTGCTTTCACCGTATAACCAGACAAATGTTTGCCGTCCCATACCATGGTTGTTGCTTAATCGAGCTGTAGAGCCTTGTAGTGGAGTTGTCATCTTTGAATTGGACTCAAGGAGAAGGGTTGCAATGGAAGCCCTTCTTTTCTGCTGAAAAGCCTGACTCGTTGCTGAAGCAATGGAACCTGGTCTTGGTACAAAAATTGCTTTTGCCTTGTTTCCAAGGATTCTTGATGCATTTTCTTTGTCCTTATCCACAACTCTGAGATTAGACTGGCCCTTCTTTTTGGGGGGAAAAGGAGACTGCAGGGGCATAAAATTTGTAATTCTTCGAAGTGGCAACCTCAATTTTGCAGGAGCTAAAGGAGGTTTTTTCTTTTCTTCTTGGCTTAGAAATGGTAATGCTGAGGACTGAGTAGAAACATAGGCCAAAGCTCTACATTCTCGTTTTAGTCTTGTTTTTCTTTCGTCTGCTAATTGATTCTCAAGATCATGAACCTGTTGGACATTTGAATTGTATCAGGATAGAAACCATAAATTAAGGTAATTTGAACTATTTCTCATATATGGCGATGGTCAAATTCAGTATGCCGATTATTTACTAGAAAATTTCGAGATTGGGTATTAGTTGTACCTTTTCTTGAAGACTCCTGCACGTAAGCTCTCTGGCAGCAAGCCTTAATTGCGCAGACTTCAAGCTGTCCTGCAACTTCTTCATTTCCTTCTCTTCATGCTTTGCTTTTTCCGCCTGTTTATTAAAAAATTGAAGAGCACAAGTCACACCAGTTATTATTAATATAACATACAGATTATTCTTGTGGTAGGTTGCTGTTTCATACCAACTGCCTGTACTTGAGAATCTCAGCATGATCTGTCTGTTTGCGAGCAGGTCCATGCTCAACTCGTCGTACGCGACTTGCAAAATTCAATGAGCAAAGGGTTTCTCCTAAGTCAGCCAAATTTGGGCTGATCTGGACAAACATCAGTGTCTTGCAATCTCTTCCTGCATTTGTAGTTGAACTAGAATTATTTATATGGAAAGCTATGAAACTCTATAGGACAAACTTATGATCTTCTATATATTGTAGTTAAATAGCCATACAATCAAAATGGAAATTTCACATTCCCTACAGTTATAAAATTTAAGTAGCTCACCTAGAGAACTCTGCAGGATATGGGTGAGTTTTGAGTTCCTGTTCGTCCACAAAAAGTTCAAATGATTACAAAATAGTAATATTGTAGTACATAAACATGGACACAACACGGAGAAGAGGAGAAGAGCAAAATGCCTGAATGGAATGTGAGAGGCTTTGGATGCAAGAGCCGAGATAACATCCCCTAATGCCGACAATGATTTATTGATAAACTGAGATTCCTTTAACCTTTCCCCTTCAACTTCAATCCTTCCTACACGCTCACTTCCTGCCAAGTCAACCAGCCATAAATGGCTCTTAGTCCTCTGCCCAGTTACTAAATTCTCTGCCACAACAGTCACTCTCAGTAAGCTGCAATAGAAATAATTAAATAAAATTAACAACCCCCATATACTAAGAAACCAACTTCTGTTCAAAAATGATTAAAGTGGATATGCTTTCACATCATTACTTAATCTAAAATTTGTTTCAGTTATGAAAAAATAGATTGATTAACCAAGAAAAAGAGATATGGAAGCTGCTAAAAATTACCAGTGAGATCGACTGCTGAATTCATTCGCATTGGTGAATCCAACAGATCTTACTTGGCTCCCTGATTTGAGAAGTTCCCAAACTTCATCTGTACTATATACACGAGCTTCAACGAGTCCAGGGACTTCCTGAGTACCCTCAAATGATTGCTTTATCTCCAACCTGCATTTTCAGAGTATTAAGTCTCTTTCAATTGCACATATTGCACATTGCAAGTAATTAAAGCCACAAATTGTATTCATCGTTTCATTTCCTATAAGCTAGTGCTTCATTTTGAATGTACCAATACCAAACCAGGCAATCTACCCCCATCAAGATTAAAACAGAGCAATCAAAACTGGCCAAAACCTCTCAACAGAATCATTTCTCACAATCAAAAATAAGCAGGAAGAAAGTAATGAGAAATATAGATAGTGAGAGGTGAAAAAGAAAATCCACATTAAACTTCAATCAAGGAATCATTAATGCTGTATATCTGGGAATAGAAGTTTTAAACTTAATATCGAGCAGACAAATCTTTCTTTCGAGACAACAGAGCACAAACTATTATCTTTCTCTTTGGGATAAAGAAAACTGATCTATGACACGAAAGACAATTTTTTCTTATAATTTGCATAAGCTTCCCCCATAAAGTAATCTAACATGAATAAAAGGAAGTGCTAGTTGACAAAAATTGGTGAAACTTACTTCGCAGCAGGTTGATTGGAGTTCTCAAATAAAGAAAACTGATCTATGACACGAAAGACAATTTTTTCTTATAATTTGCATAAGCTTCCCGCATAAAGTAATCTAACATGAATAAAAGGAAGTGCTAGTTGACAAAAATTGGTGAAACTTACTTCGCAGCAGGTTGATTGGAGTTCTCAACTAGGAGATCCTTTATCTTTTCATTGTACACCTCTAACATGCTGACAGATATCTCAAACGTCATAATACTTCTCCTTTCATTAGAAGCTCTGAAAAGTTCCTCCAAAGTCCTGTAGTTTACCCCTCTATTTTCTGGTGTTCCTTCCATGGTATATGTCTTGCCAGTACCAGTTTGCCCATAGGCTAATATGCACACGTTGTAACCATCCAGGACAGAGGTCACTATGGGCATAGTTTGAACAAAAACAGCTTCTGCATTAAACATAGCAATGAGTGATGATCCATTTTATACAGCACAGTTAGAGAAATCTCTGTCGATCACATAAGCAGTACTGCTAAGTTCTTAAGTTACCTTGGTCGTCCTCGGGTCTAAATACGTGATCAAACTTGAATTGCTTTTTGGAAGAATCAAGACAAACTATTTGTAGTTCATTTTCCCTGGATGAGTCAAAGTCAACAACTGATGTGGACCCATTTGCAATCTCATCTTGTTTTAGTGGCTTACACCTACAAAAGACCCTAATATTTCCTTTGAGCTCAATCACTTCATTGTAGAACCGCTTTCTTTCTGAGCATTCTTCGAGATACTTCTTTTTCAGCACTTCACACTCTTCATGGTACGTATTTTTCAGTAGTTCATGTTCTTTGCCTAACATTTTAAGCAATACAAAGCAGCGAACATCTCATTAAAATTAAATACTGAATAAATCTCAGAAATTCATAAAAATGTAGAATAATGATACATACTAAGTTTCTGAAGTGCGGTAAAAGCTTCCGAACCTAGTAAACAATCAACACCGAGGCCCTTCACTTCATTGCTAAGAAGTGTATGATCCTTCCTGATGTTCTGAAAGAAAGCAATAAGTGGAGTCAAATACAAATAGTATACTTTAAAAATTAAAAGGTCTCTGTCACCAAAAATTTACCTGTACTTTGTTGCTCAGATATTCAATTTTCTGAAATATCGGAAGGGTCTGGGCATAACACGTATCTACTGTGTCATCCATTAGATCACTACATCCTTCAAATTGTCCTGAACCCAAGCCCGACACAGGAAACTCAGTGTTTAGTCCGAGAAAAATCAAAAGGCAAAAGAAATGTATGCAAAAGTTTTCAAGAATTTCTTAAATTCCTCTTATATTTTCTTTCCCATTGTTAAACAGTCTCCAATCAACGAAGATGATTCCCTCTTAATTGGTTCTTTATTCTTTATCCTTATTGCCTGAACTTCCTTATTTCAATAGACGCAGAACGCAGAGATACAAATTCAAATTACAAAGAAAATATTTAATCTACTTGGGGGAAAAAACGAAATTGGACAAAGTAAACAAGAAAAAAAAATCAACTATTAAATCACGGAAAATGAACAACTAAAGATAAAATTTCTCCATAAATAAGCAACTGCGAGTTTTAAAAAGGCAATACGAAAGGCAAAGAACAGAAACTGCGAACCATTATTATCATTCATCAAATTTCAAAAATAGAGTTTCCAGGGTATGATTAATATGTTCAAATACAACCCCTTAAAGTTAGATGATACATACACTTTGCATAGATGTGTGTAACTACTGAGAGAGAGAGAGTACCGTCCATGATCGTGATTCAAACAGGTTTGTTTACTAGCGAAACTTGACAAAATTTAACGAAGAACAACGAACAAGTTCAGAGCTCAAATCGAAAGTTGAGAGAGAGAGAGAGAGAGGGAGAGAATGTACAGTTGATGAATGAATCGCTTAACGGTCCGAAAAGGTGTTTCTATCGAGTTTGAAAATTGGGAAAATCTGAGCCGTTTGATTATCGGCGCTCCCTCTAACGGCTATAAAATGTATTTCCTTTGCCGGGACCGTTGTATTTTGGGTAACGGGTCGGGTTAACGGCTTCTCGGGTTTATGGCCCACGTATTAAAATCGAATCTAAGAATTTAATAAAAGAAATATTATTCGAATAATTTTATTTGTCTGTTTAGACAAATGTATTTAATTTCATTTAGAAAAAGATTAATACATAAACAAATAAAGTGCAGGAAATAGCATTTTACAGATAACTGTACATTTGCACTTAAAAAGTTTTGTGACAATTTTTAAAGCCAATGGTTCAATTGGTGTGATTTGGGGTCATCAACGGTTAAAATTGAGGTTTATAACTTCTTCATCCTAATTAACAGCCTGTTTGAAAGCGATTTTTTGGTCCAAAAAATTGATTTTTCGACCGTTATTTCACTATTCTAGTCGTCATATTTGATTTCTTCTCTCACAGATGGACCACACTTTTCTCCTAGCGATCAAAAAATCAATTTTCAAAATCACTCCCAAACAAGCTCTAAATCCGAGTTGCCAAGCCCTTGTCCCAAATTTGTGAATCAGCCCCTAAATTCCCATTATTCTGCAAATCTGTACCCCACATTTACAAATATGCCCCTGAATTTTCCAGATTCTGCAAATTGGTCCCATAAGTTTTAACAGACCGCAAGCCGAAATCTGAATGGCAGCTGCTCCGGGGCTTATTCACGAAAGTCGCGCAATGAGTTAATTGGTTCTTCAAATGTAGTATTAGGGCATTCCCTTGTATTTGCTTATCAATTCTTCATTATTATTTACATGATATTGAAATATAAAGTCCTCCTTTTATGATGTAAAAAAATATTAATATTCGAGCGAGACTGAAAATTATGTTTTTAATTCAATATAAGTACGGTTCTATGTTCTCAGTCCAAACATAATTTATTATTTATCGCTTAAAGTATGAGAAAATATTTCACGCATTTTTCATGCAAGTTTTAGTGCAGAGGGAGGGGTATGAGTTGAGGAAGAACTTTTTGACCGTATCAACCATCTTCAATGGACATCAACTAGTAAATGTCCTTGCCGAGGAAGAAAATTTATGACAGTATCAATCTTCAGTTCACTTCAGCTAGTAAACATCCTTGCCTTATACATATTTTAAAAGATTTTAATTGATTTCATAGTGAGGCTTAGAGCCATAATTGCAAGATTTAAGTTTTTGATGGTGTGACAACACAAGTTGAATCGCTCAAGTACTTTAAAAGGATTACTTTACTTATTTATATTGTTATTATAATATTGCACAACCGGTAGAATTTACTTTCTTCAAGTAATCCAGAAGAAATAATTAATTTTTAAAGACTTCATTGTCCACCATATCCCACATTTTTTAGTCGAATGATGATAGTCATTTACTTTCATTAATGTGTCCCCATTAACTATAAAGAAATATATTTAAGTAAAATACAATAGATAAAAATGTGAAACCATAAATATTGAAAGGTTTGATTTTAAGTCGGTTGCAATCAAAGATAGAGCTAAAAATCCAGTCATGTGGGGCCAAATTATAAGGAAATTTTTTGGACAATTTTACCTTTTTAATCAAACATCATGCGTATAGTTTTTCCTTTTAACGTCCCGATAGAAATTTTCATCAAGCTAATAGCAATAGTGTACTAAGTGTTAAAAGATTGGGACATAAAATGCTACAAATAGAAGTTGGGGACCAAGTGTTTACAAATAGAAAGTTGGGACCTAGAGGATGAAATTCACCCGTTCATAATTTAGCTTATCACCACGCTTTGAGATTCTATGGTCGTAGAAGCCCAGAATTTCATGGCCTCTACGTATACAAACCTCTCCTGTTACGTGCCTTCAATTCCCAAACGATCCTCCACACCCAATTTTTCATCATCCCTTTATCCCTCAAACACTTGTGGGTACAGTGGAATTTCCCGTCACAAAGCCATTTCGAGCTCGAGAACACATGCCAAGTTTGAGAAATTCCAAGGCCAAGAAAATCTTGAAGAGTTCACAGAGTTATCTTCTTTAGACCCAGAGCCAATTCAAGAAGACGAAGAAAGAGAAGAAGATGACAGGTTCGTTTTTCAGTTAATCATTCACTTAATTTGGTATTTATGTTGCATAAAATTTATAATTGCACTGAAAGTGGTTTACTTGAAAAATAAAACAATTGATGATGGTACTTTTCATCCTTTAGTGGATTCATGTAGTTGAATTGTTCAAGATTGTTAGCATGCTTGTGACTAAATTGAACATACATAACTTGTGATTTCAAACTATTAAACTGGAAGTTTGCTTTGACATTTTCAGCGTGAAAAGAAAGCATTTTCATACTAGAGTTTTGTTTAGTGAAACTAGCTACATTGTGTTTATGTTAATTTCAAAATTAAGTCAGTCTTATACATTTTTTTCAAATTGAATAGCAATTTAAATAGTCACCTCTACCGACCTCTACCTTAATTTGGAAGTTTTAAGGAAAGAATGGAGAATTTAGATGTATTGGGAAAGTTATATGAACTTCCTACTGAATTGAGATTTTGAATTCTGGTTCATCAAATTGAGTGCTAATAGAACACAATTTTATTGGGGAAATATGTGTTACTAGCAGACATTGTATTATCTAAAATTTACCTGAAGTTATTTTGGAGTTTTTTTATCAATGTTATCTCAGTGATAATAAACTATATTATAAACAGTTACTTCTTTCTTTTAATATCCTCCAATCATAACAAGTACCATTGTAAGTCCTATGCTTAGCATGAACCATATTGGCCAACAGTAAATTCGGTTTTATATTAACAGAATTTATAAACTGTTTAATTTTTATAGATAGATAAAAAAGAGTGGTGGATAAGTTGATACTCCTTGTGAGCCAATTGAAATGTGTGGTTGAAAATGAATTTTGAGTATTTATAAAATGATTTATAAATTTTGCCAAACAGAGTTTGGACACTCAACAGGCATCTGTTCTGGATACTTCAACTTAAATTTAACAAGTTTTTCATTTCCAGAGGTTAACACTTTCTATAATGTCAATTAATAATTTCAAGCTGCTTTTAAACTGATTCACTTTTCCCTGATATCCCTAGCTGCATCTAAATTGAACGAAGTAAAATTTTTCATTAATTTGTGTTTCAGTTGCTTGCCATCTAATTTGGAGGGTGCAGTTCAACAGTCGGGCCAAGCAACTGCGGATTTTGTTTCATCGGGAGGAATGAGAGCCATAGTAAGTATCGAGGACTTGCCCATGTTGTTGCAAAATTCCCTGTTAAGAATTTTCTTTTTGCATATTTTTTATTTTTTAGGTTCACTTTTTATCTTCACTTGGATTTTTGTTTGGCTGCCTTGTCATTTTTTTTAAACATTTGTTCAAGGATTGTGAACTTGCCATGCAAAACTGAGCACCATTACTTGATCCTGACTTGAAGTAAATCATGTTTTCTAATTTTTTAAAAACAGAAAATTTTATTGCCTAATCATTTGTATTCACTAAACTGTTACTTTTAAAATTGCAAAATCTTAATCAATTGGTAAATTGCTTTCTCTTTTTTCTACAGGTTGAATTGTTAATCCCGCAGCTGCAGTTTCTTGATGACGAAGGAGCCCAAGCTGAGCTGTGGGAGCTGTCAAAGATATTCTTAGATACACTTATTGAAGCAACGGGAGGCCAGGTTGGCTGGGAATCTTTGCTTTTATAATACTAGCATTGAGGCTCACTTATAAAAGACCACGAGAAGTTCAAAACATGAGCGCAGTCATAGTTACATTAGAGATTAAAACACTAGGATGCACATTTTGGATTAATTTGAAAAACTTTTTGTTATAGAGAGTTAAAGCTGTATTTCCTGATGCTGGTGCTGCTGCACTTCTAAAGTATCAGTGGAAAGATGCCACCTTTGGATTCTCCAGGTAAAGCAATGCATGGGCATGAGATTCTTCATAAGGTTTTTCTGAAATGGATATCAAATTATAAGGTGTGGGATTTTACAGGGTTTTCCATGTACTTTAAAGTTACAGTCTAATTAACTCCCATTCAGCCCTTGTATGACTTAGATACAAACAAAATCGCAGCATATATTTTTGGTGCTGTTATTGGCACCCCTTTCTGACCTTTAGTCACTCTCGTCTATTTTATAATTTCAGTTAGACAACAATGTGTCTCTTTATACATTATAATCATATAACCCTTCTGCAGATAGTCAATAATAAGAATCAAAGAAATTCAAAACTACTATTGAGAATTTCTTGCATATTTTATTTGGAATTTATTATCATTAGATTTTCTATAGACAGATCGGATCATTAGGTGAGTGGGTTAGTAGTTTATGGATTCTAAAATTAGCTTTGAGGTATTCATGTGATGATAGTGAAGTAATCTCTCAGAAAATAAGGAGGTGATGGGAGTTTGTGAAGCTTAAAAAGATCTAATGCCGCCATTATATAGTTTTTTTTTTTCCCCTTCCTTTTCAATTTTATCCTTTCAGTTATGTAATTCTTCTTCTAGCATTTTATTTATCCAGTTTAGGTGACCGGAAGCCCGTGGATGCTGAAGACGAAATTGTAGTGATGGTGGTTCCTGATTATCAGATGCTGGAATACGTCAAAAGAATTGCATCTGATCTCTCAGATGATCCGGTACCTATGCATTTTTATTTTTCATCCATGGGAGTACATGAATCCATGCATAGCATCCACCATGATAAGCAAAAGTTTAGTTGGGGAAAGGAGGGGGGGACGGGGCGAGTTCCCTTTTAGTCTCCAAAGTCCAAAGTAAGATGACTTCCATAATTTTAAATAAACTATACTTTTTTTTATTCTACAGCTTGCTGACGTACCACACTTTGTCTCAGACGAAAAATATTTCTTCATATGTAACGATAATGTAATCTACAAACTCATGGAACAACAGAGTTCAAAGTTTATCACCCTTCTCTCTTTCAAACTTTACTTAGCTCATAAGATGATTGTTTTGCGAACCTAGGTTCCATGTTAGTTAATGAAGAGAAAAGATGTTTTTTGTTCTCCTCAAATGAGAACATTAATGGTCCAAGTCCCTTTTCATATTTACCAAATCAATTTTACTTTCTGACTTTTCTGGTTCCTAGAAAGGTTCAAGCAGCAGCATTACTGGAAATTATAAATGTTGTCGTTGAGATTCTCAACAAAACCAAAACTTGATGATATTAAATCATTAAGATATTCCATGGATAGATATCTTATTGCATCTCCTATTTATGGAGAACTTTGAGTGAAACCTCACAATTCAGCTGATCAGTAGTTAATTTGCAAAAAATCTTGGTTCTTATAGATCTCCTTAATGAATGTATCTAGTAAAGCAATAGAAAATGTCAGATCCTAGCTGAAGTAAAACTTGATGCGTCATAACTGTATTCATTTCTAGTGAATTCTAATCAATCTGAAAATCATGATGAAGATCAGAATCAAAGTCAAAAGAGAATAGAAAACTATAGAAGTCCTAGCTTGAAGCAAGAAAAATAGGATTCCACGGTACGTGTCTTAGAACAAGACTCTCTCTCTCTCACTCCCCCCCCCCCCCCCCCACCCTTTCTCCCCATAGAAGCATATTTTTTTTTTTTTTTTTTTTTTTAAATCTATCTATTAAATGCATTCAGTTACAATCCCTCTTGGTTACATGCAAGAGTTACCATAATCTACATCAGAGAAGCCTACATTTTTTTATGTATAAAATGCATTCAGTTACAACCCTTCTTGGTTATATGCGAGAGTCACTATAATCTACAGTAGCATTCCATTTTGTTCAAAGAAGCATACAGTTTTTTTAATCTATAAAATGCATTCAGTTACAACCCTTCTTGGTTATATGCGAGAGTCACTATAATCTACAGTAGCATTCCATTTTGTTCAAAGAAGCATACAGTTTTTTTAATCTATAAAATGCATTCAGTTACAACCCTTCTTTGCATTAAAATTAAACCATATTGTTAGCCTAGGCCTCTTATCATGTGGAACCCGCGTCTTATTAGTGAGGATGTTGGAGTCGGGATTAATGTTCGCCGATTACGCAGGAGCTTTTTAAGGTAAGTTTCAGTAATTTAGAACATGAACAAGTAGTATTTAGAATATCATTTTTTTCTTGTGGAATAAAACATCTAACTCACTGTGCTCATCAATCATTGTTTACAGCACTTTCACGGTCGTATATTCAATGAGACCTCTTGCTTCTGGCGCTGTGTTTAGATGCTATCCCGGGTAAAGTGCTTACACTTGAATATTTCACTGAATTTCTTACCTTAATGGTATTTTGATTCAGTTTAAAGCAAGCCATCCAGCTTAACAAATAATAAATTTCAATAGGCAGTCAAACGTCTGTGTAATTTAGTCTTTCTCATTTTATCCTAGGGATTTGTACTTTTCAGTGAAGTACTTAGAAATGTTTATATAAAATAAGATTATTTATTCGTAACCATTCAACCCGAACTTTCAACTTGTAAGCCTATTGCTTACATTGTTCTTTAAGCTATCAGCATAGTAAGAGAGTTTTTGTTTGTTAATTTACCGTGTCAGAATGTTATACATTTTCTGGCTCTTCTATCAGGTTATGGAAAGTGTTTTATGATGATAAGGAGAGGCCTAACAGGTACCTTCTTGCCAAGGAACAGATAAGCCGTCCTGATGCAGAAGAACTCGAGGTCAGTCACTCTCATCTCCTAAGCTCCACCAACCCCCACCCCCTGTGCAAACCCGCCATGCATAAAATGCCCCGACCCTCCCACAAAAACGAAAAAATGAGGTAGCTTGTAAAACTGATTTTAGCAATCAGTGAGGGATGAAAAAGTGCTTTTCCATTTCCTTTTTAGTTTATTTTGGGACGGTGGAACCAAGAAAATTTATTGCTGCTTACTTTTTCCCTTTGGTTATCGTCAGATAATATTTGGAGGAATCGGAAACCAGGAAGAGAAAGGAGCGTCTTTGTTTGATCAAGCTGCAGGCATCTTCTCCTCACTAAACCGGTTCATGAAAGTCATTTCAAAGTAAATGTTTTCTACTTCTCTGGATTGAAAAGTCTTACGTCTGTCTTCATATTTTTCCATCTAAAACTAACTCCAATTTTGAATCTTCGCTGTAATACACATCAGAAAATGTAATGTTAATTTTGTGACTAACAGTATGTTTGGTAGTGCTTTTAAGTGCTGATAAGCTATGAATCCTACCTAATGTGCCGGATGAGCCATTTAGCAATATCTTTGTATGCCTCTTGTGTAAGATGAAATTCCATCCCAACTAATATACTTTTCAGGCCGATCACAAATTGGAACCCCAACAGCTCCACACATTTTCTTCAGGTTAAAGTTATACTTCCCTCTGATACCACAGGAAGATTTTTCTACATTCTTTGGATCAAATCCTGAAACACTAATTTTCACAAAAAAAATTAAAAATAAAAATAAATAAATAAATTATTGTTAGGATTAATAAATTATAATAATTACATATTTGGTATGCTCGACTGCAAAATATTTACTTACCAAGCTATGATGTGTTACGCAGAAGGGGAAGAAAAGCATCGTAGTAATCGCCATAAACAATCATTAAATTCTTTCAAGCAATGGTATTCGTTGTGTATAGCTGATTTATTCGACTGGAAGTTCGTGAGATAGATTGGAAGACAGCCAAAGGGAAAATTACCTGGACAAAATGGAATTGATTTTTGATTAACAATCGACACGGCATGTCACACTTTAATACAGAACTTTTATTAACGTTTAACACAACACTAGAAAAGTAAAAGCTAAATATTAGTTTATAAGGTTTTTTGTAAGAACATTATTAGCTTAGTCCGTGGCCTGTGGTGAGAATTTGTAAAAATCGGGTTTATGTTGATTTTTTTTATTAAAAAAAAAAAGAAAAAAAAAGCCTTATTATTAGTGCATTTATCTAATTGCTTCTCATGTTTAGTGGCTCATATTTGAGCTGTGAATGTATAAGAAATTCTTAGGTTGCGAGTGCACCTTCAACCGCAATCTACCCAATGTTAAATTTTGGAGGCCGACGACCAACACTCCATTGCACTAATTACACATTTCTAAGGAACAAAATCGATCTTAAGAACAATGATATATTGTGCCTCAATCCACAGATAATAGTGAAACACGACGGATAATACATAATGTTCATTATACTAGATTATATACTGTCAGTGTCGTCACGAAGCATTACAGTTTATGCTTGGCAAGGACTACGTGAAGTAAAATCATTTTCCGCGAATTTATTATCAAGTAGGGGTTGTTGGCTCTAATGATCCAAGAGCTCGGGCACAAAAGGCTGAAAACAGAATTTCAAGCAAAATGACGACGTGCTTTTATTCCCCCCATAATTGAAGTGCTTTAACCTCAGCTTAAAAGACAGTATGCTCACCATAGTTCCAACCAGTAAGAGAGATGCGTGGGGTGATACCAGGAGGGACCTCAAAGTTTAAGGTTATCGACATTACTTCACCAGGTACTAAAGAGAAATAGTTGTCAGAGTAATGAACTGGAAGAATTCGAGTGTCTTCACCGTCCTTGTGATCCTTCTTGGAAGCATGGACAGATAAATGAAGAAAGAAAGCAACACCAGTCTCGGTTCCTTTAATTTCAGTAACTTTCACACCATTGTCTTCCCTAGAAAAATTCTTCCATGTCTTGTGAAATAAACTACTTTCCATTTTTCTCTCGGGAGCACGAGCTTCAAATGATGACGTATCGAAATCTTTGTTATGACTTTCCTGAATGAAATTGTGGCTGGAGAGTAGACTTCTTGAATCTGGTGTCTTCGATGTATTCTGTATATGCATTCTGATTTCATAGCTGGACCCTCTTATGAAAGTTAGAGAAGTCATCGTGAGGGGGATGTTCCTTTTTCTGTATGGTTCAAGAAGCTTGTAATCGCCACCCGGAAGATGTAACCAATAAAAGTTCCTAGATAGTATCCCGTCATCTGACATTTTATAGAGTTTAAGAAGGAGAAAATAAACAGGCGCAGGACTTTTGGACTTTGGATAATTCATTTCAGAAATAGATATTGTTCTTTTTGATGGCAACTTGAGCTTATCAAAGACTTTGTAATAGGGGCATTCTCCTTCTAGATTCCAAACTGAGGCCTCTATAGCCACATCTGAAAGCTCCTCCGATGTTGTGTTGACTACCTGTATATATATATACAGGAAAAATATGAAAAGCGTATTACTTTCAAGTTCAAATAAATTATTCAGTGTATTATCTGCATAGCTTGATATAAGTTGGGTAAAAGAAATCAGAGAAGATTAAAGCATTACATGTTCTACAGATCAAATATATAGAGTTATCTCGATTCGAAAAAACAATAACAAATATAAGGAATGTTTAGGCACTGCAGGTTATAATTGTTACAGACAAAAGGTGTCAGGCAGAAAGAGGATGCTGTAAAATTTCATTTCAGTTTCATGTTAATGCACGATCAAGCAGTTGCAAGAACATTCAGAGACACAACTAATCCTTGACATTTGTAAAATATTTCGCATGTTTACCTCTATAAAATATGTTGCCAGATTTAGCTGGACATGGATTGGTTCTGCAGCAGAACGACAGCCGTAGAACCCTGCAGTTTGGTCATGGAGATGATCATAGAACTGGCCTCTTAGACCTGTCCAAGGGTTTTGGGTCTTCCAAATCAAAACACCTGTATATTTGCTCCACATATGAGAGCTCCAGCCTTCTAAGAGAGCTCTGTATTGGATATAGTTAACTAACTGTGCCTGAAGTAGATAGTTTACATTAGTTGATACACCATAAGGAAAAGGATAGGAGACTGTTCAATAAGCATCACAAAAACATTATACCTTAAGACAGAAGTCATCAAGATCCACCGGAGTTCCATATACTAAAATCTGATCGTGAACCTTGCCTGGTTTTGAATATGGAATGTACTTATGATAGTCCCATATAGGATTTGGGACTTCCTTTACATAACCATTTGGTAATTTATTGAATAAAGGAATCTGCCACCCCTCTGGAGGCATTGTGGCCCTTATCGTAGCGGCCACAGGCATTCCTATGGAACCTACCTCGGGGTTGAACCCATACTTGTAATAATCGTCCTTGAAAAAGTCTTCAGGATTTTGAATTTCATAAGGACCATCAGTAAAATCCCCCTTTCCATTAGCAAAGCCATCCCACATAGATCCCTGCACATAAATTCGTGTACCGTCGAGATATTGACTTGGATCCTTTAAATCTGGGGACAATTCTTCCTCTGAAGAGCCATGGTGAATAAAACTTTCAAAATATGGATGAAGCTGTAGATCAGTTTTCAAAGCTGAATTGATATCCTTTGGTGGAACTTGCTCATTACCCCCAACCCATAAAGCAAGACTAGGATGATTCCTGAGCAGCTTGACAGTGTCCCTTGCACAAAACATAAAAAGATCATGGTCCAAAGGACCATCTGGATTTGATACAGGATCACCTCGTCCATCAACATCTCCAGTTATCCAGAACTCTTGCCAAACCTATCAAGGTATATGTAAAATTATTAAGTAGTGCAACCTGGTTATTAAAACTGTAAAACCATCCACTGCATTTCAAAATACATCCAGTTTGACATTGCATGAAAAAAAATGCAGAGATACTTTAAGAGTATTAAAGTGGCAAAAAAAATTTAAAATGAAAGAAAGAATTAGGTCCTAAATTGACTATTATGGCATTTTACAGTAAAAGTCCCATTCATTAAAGTGCATATTATTTTGGAACAAACACAAGGCTTGGTATTCTTTTAAGAGAATATGACTTTTCACCTTAGGCGATTCTTCTAGTTTCATTAAAATATTAAATGGACAAGTTGGGTAGCAGAGAAAGCAGTAAGAGGCTGTGAAACTCAAAACTACATGAAAAGCAATTAACAGTCAAATCATTATACTTTTGGAAGATGCAATTCTCACAATCCGTGATCGTTGAAGTCTATTCAACTAAATAAAGCGTTATACCATCTATATGGGATTCAGTTAGCAAGATTTACATGCTTTGCTTCAAAACCCATATAAGCACACACATGCAGACACGTGGGCATGCAACCACACAGTCTGTGCTCGCAATCACGCGTGCACGTGTGTGTGTGTGTGTGTGAGAGAGAGAGAGAGAGAGAGAGAGAGCGCTGACCAAAAGACCATAAATATCGCAAAAATGATAAAACTCAGGCCTTTCAGCTAGTCCACCACCCCAACAGCGCATCATGTTGAAATTCATGTCTGCATGAAATTTGATGTCTGCTTCGTAACGTTTCCTAGAAAGCCGTAGTAATCCATCTGACAATATCCAATTACCCCCACGGATAAATATCGGCCGGCCATTGACCTTAAATAACCTGCAACGTGGAAACATGAAAGTTGTTTTAGCACTGTTGTGCACTAATTGCCACTTGAAGTTTACTAAAGAAACATTCATACCTTCCGCCAGTAGCACTATCTATATGACTCTCAACCTTACGAAATCCAAAATGGTGGTTCCACGAATCAGACTCCCCAAAATCATTCACATCAACTGTTATTTCTACATTGTAAAGGGATTGCTTCCCCATGCCATTGGGCCACCATAGGCTGGGTTTATAGAAGAATATCTGCCAACACATTCAGTGACCATTACGGAATTCCTACCACTGTGAATAATAAAATTCAAAGCCAAGAACCTAAAAATTTATATTAACTTGTTTCTGTTTCTTTTCAAATAGTTCGTGCCTGAAATGTCACTTATCAAAGAACAATTGATCACTGGACATCTAGTTAGAAATAACGACCTGAAAGCTGGGTCTATTTCTGTGTATTAAGACTTTCGAGGTTACATATAAAACCTTGAAACCTTAATATTTTTTTTATTTATCTACGGATGACTTTACCAGGTACATCCAAGAGAAATTCATAGGTAACAATTCATTGATAATATGTTCATAGTAGATTGATAGGAGTATATATATCATAACTTAAAATTGGAGCAGCACTTCATAATCTAAATGTTTCAGGTTTTTAGTAAAACTATGATGGGAGTGTTGTTATAGTCATAGGAGGAAATAGAATATTGTAAAATCAAAATAATGCATTATATTGCCCTAAAGAGAGCTTGCTTTAGGTACTTAGGTCCAATTATTCTCAAGGAACAAGGATTCGAAGAAGATGCATTTAATGCCATGCATAAGATTAAATCTAATTAGACAAAATAAAGAAGTGATATAGCAATCCTCTTTGACCAGGCTTTCCAAGTTCAAATAGAAATTCTAAGCTAATAAATGATGCTGTGCTCTATTAAGTAGAGGTAGCACTAAGTAAATGTTAATGGCATCTTATATGCCTGAGGGCATCTTGCATAGAACTTAAAGACCTGAATTTTCCTGGAATGATGTGATCCTACTAGACTCAAGTTAAAAGAACGAGGTATACCAAAATAACATAGCCTGAGGTAGTTAAAAAAGATCTATTTCCTTTGACCTTTCAAAAGAATTAAATCTAGATATAACTAAATGACCAATCTTTATGTATTGTAAATAAATAAAAGAAGAAGGGTGTTCAATGCTATATCTAAAAACATCTCACTCTGTGGCACCAGTACTAAGTACGCTATGGTTCGGAACTTTGACATGTCTATTGACAGAGATTAATCTTTTTTCCCCAGATGTATTGAAAAAAAAAATCCATGTAGCTGACTCCAAATATATTTAGAATATGACTTAAACTTGTTCATATTGTTGTAGAAGGCATTGGCCATCCTCATTATATAGCAGGTGTAGTGGGATTTTCTCTTACATCTTTGAATTTCTAAGAATATTATATGTACAAGTAAGATAAG